TTCATTTGCCTTGTTGCTTTCATCAGCTACTCTAATCCCTAACAGCTCAGTCGTCTTTCTCAGCTCAGCTGAGCCCCTTACAATAACACTAAATATTGTCCTAAAAATCTATAGCTTCATTTCCCTTTCAAAGAATAAACATACTTTTTGAGTCTCATTTTCCTTTCCTACTCCAATTACATTATTATTTCTACACCACAAAGGTTTACATTTTGACTCTGTTTTCCTAGCCATAATTTCTTCCTAACAAGGCAGCTTCATTCCTGGGTTTTCTACTCTGATTCATCTCTTGCTTTGTTAGATTAAGTGATTGAGTCATATTTTTCAATAAAGCACTGTGGGTAGCATAGGTCATGAGTTGTTGTAGATTTTTATTTGAGGAATTTTTTCATTTGTTTGTTAATATTTTTGTTACATTTGTTTTATAATCTTCAAAGGCACTAATTATGTTTATTATGGGTCTCTTTTGTCTTCAGTAGTTATCATTTGTTCTGCAACATTCTGACCTGTATTATTTTCCATTTTATTTTGCTTTATTTTTCTCAAGTTCCATCCTTCATGACCCTATTTGCAGCACCAGCCATTTTACTTTTTGCTACTCTGACATGACTTTTATTTCTATAACTATTTCATTTTTCTCCTGTTTTGTTTTTTCCAGACCACTGATACTTTTCAAATCCTACTACTGTCTTACTGCTTTTTGAACTGTTACATACTCATATATTTATTTGAATTCCTGTTTTGCAGATAGCATGTTTTATTTTAATACTTCAAGCCACGGTAAACATGTTTGAAATTTTCTTCTGCTTCTTAAGATAATTTTTCTGTTTTATATTCTACTTTTTTATGTTCTTCACTTTCTTTAAAAAATGCTGTCTTAGTACAGCCTCAAACTGGTTCCTTTCTAATCATTATTCATTTTTTAATGAAGGCTATGTGAACCTAGGAGTTTCCTAAAGACAAGGTGAAACTGTGGCAGCTCTTTTCAGGTAGTTTGTGGCTGCACTGTTCCTAGGGAGAGCCTACAGCATCCTTTAACCTAAAAGCAGGCCTTTGTCCCCTAATCCATGTCACATTCAGGGCAGGCAGAAAGCATGCACAGGGTGCAATGACCCTTTCAGCCTAGTGATTTAAAGTTTTAAGCGTCTCTTCTCCTGACTTTGAACAAATAATTGCTGGGTATGTTTTGTTTCCTCCCTTGCCATTTTGTCCTTTTTAAATCTGCACAAAGTATGTAGAGGTTTGCATGCAGTTTTGCCATCCTCATTCCATTTTGTCTCAACTCCACTGCACTGACACTATTCTTCATAGTATAGGTTTTGGCTTATGGCTAAACTCTATTTTAATTAATAATGACTTTCCTTCCCCTCTTTTCTTATTTTTATTACAGAAAGGAATAGTTTTAGTGTAGAAATATATTTTTATCTCACATCCTATCAGTACACCCAAAGAAAATAGTTTACAAGTCCAACTTCTGCACTAAATAGTAAGTTTTTAAAGGCAAAGGCTGTATCTTAGTCATATTTGACTTCACTTGAAAATCTGAGTGCCTTGCATAAAGCAAAAATGTTCAAATGATCAGTATATGCTGTTTTATAAAACATAAAATCCCTAAAGCCTCACATTACTCCTAAATCCTCCATTAACCTTCTATCCCTTTTTAAATATGAGGTGGAATCTATCAACAGAAACAGACTCAACAATGAAAGAAAGGATGAAATTAGCCAAGATTTTAAAACAGTCATTATTAATATTATCAGTTTGTTCAAAGACCTAAAGAGGGGGAGGGAAATATGAGGAGACAAATTGAAAATATAAAAAAGAATGAAATGAAAAATTTTACAATGAAAAAATAAAACACACAAAACCCTGAAGATAGAGCAATATGGTGTGCTTCCAGTAGAATAATAATAAGAAGGAAATATATATACACACACACAGATACACATATGCACAAACAAGCACACATTTAAAATTAGAGGTAAGTGAAGATAGGAGACAGAAAATATTTGAAGTTAGAATGGCCAAAACCTTCCCAAATTTGATAAAAACCAGACACAGGAAAAGCATAATGAGGTCCAAGCAGTACGAATAAAGAAAACTGTACACCAAACTGCACACCAAAATAAAATTCACGAAAACAAGTGATAAAGACAAAATCTTAACTGCAGCCAGAGAAATAAATACTACATTAGGAGAAATGAAGAGTACTGACTTCTAGTCAGAAATTAAGCAAAACAGATAATAATGAAAAGTGCTGAAATAAATTTTTTTAGTTCATTGAATGCTATGAAAATGTCCTTGAAAAATGAATGCAACCAAGGAGTCACTGAAAAGTATATTTCACAATGGAAAGATATAAAATCCTTCTCTGCTCTAAAAGGGATGAAATAATTAGTTACCTGCCAAATGTACATGACAGGAGATGCTAATGGAGGTGTTTCAGGAAGAAAAAAATTATATCGCATGAAAACTTTGATTAAAAAAAAATGAGGAGTGTAGAAAATAGTAGAAACATAGGTAAATATACTTCCTGTCCTTTTAAAACCCTTTAAAAAATACTTGACTACTTAATCCAAAAAACAGTAACAACATATTTCGGTGTTTATAACACATGCAGTGGTAAAATACATGACAACAATAGCAAAATAGACAGGAGGGTGAAGTGAAAGTACACTGTTATAATTTACATATGAAATATTATAATTATATTTGAAGGTAGCCTCCAATAAATTAAACATACATGTTGTAAACCCTAGAAGAGTTAACTATGAAACTAAAACAGATATACCTAAGATGAGAGTAGAGAATAATGAAATTTTAAAAAATCAAATGGAAGGCAGAAAAAGAGGGTAAAACTTATTTAAAAATTGGAAAAATAGAAAAAAAATGACAAGGTAGCAGCGGAATTAAGTCTGACAATATTAACAAGACTAACAGCAAATGGTACAAACACTCAAATTAAAAAGCAGAGCTTCCAGAATAAGTAAAAAAATCAAGACTGAGCTGTATGTTGTCTACAATAAATCTAATTTAAACGTAAAGACATAGATAGGATAAAATTAAAAGCGTGAAAAATATATAGACACAAATACTAATCATAAGAAAGCAGAAATGGCTATATTAATATCAGGAAAAGTAGACTTCAGAAGAAAACAGGGAAGAACTGAATAAACAAAGATTTCTTAGGACACAAAAAAGTGTCCCATAGAAGGAAAATGTAATAAAAATAATCTCTGCACTTTGACAAACACAGTTAAGGAAGTAAAAAGGCAAGTTACAAAAGTAGGGAAAATATTTATTATACGTATTTCTAATAAATGACTTTAATCCAGAAAACTTAAACAATTCTTAAAATTAAATGATAACACAAATATACCAAATAATAAAAATCGAGCAAGAAATTTCATCACAGGAGACAGAAATGGCCAATAAGCATATGAAAAGATACTCAACATTGTTCATCATCAGAAAAATGCAAATTAAACTCAATACCATGCACAAAAAAATCACAATACTGCTCTATGCTCATGGGATAGCTAAAATTTAAAAGACTGACAATAGCAAGTGTTGATAAAATGTGAAACAACTGAAACACTTAAACATTGATTTTGAGAATGTAACATGGTACAAACACAATGGAAAACAATTAGCATTTTCTTATAAAGGCAAAGAAACTTACCATATAACCCAACAATTTTACTCTTAGGTATTTATCCACAAGAAATAGCAACAAAGGTCCACACAAAGACTTGTTCACGAATGTTTGTAAGAACTTTTTTGTAATAGTCAAAAACTGGAAACAACCTAAATGTCTATCTATATCACATGAGTGGATATACATATTATAGTATATAATTCCATTCTACAGAATATTACTCAGCAGTGACAAGAAAGAACAGACTGCTCGCATACAGAAAACATGTACAAATTTCAAAAAAGTACACTAAATAAAAGTTACAAAAAAGTACACTTAAGATTTTTATTTATGATATATAAAAATCAAAAATTTAATCTGTAGTGACAAAAGCAGATCAGTGGCTAGCTGGGGCTGGGGTCAGAAGCTGACTGAAGCAGGGCACTAAAGGGCGCTTCAGGGGGGATGGGTGTTCCAGGTGCAGGTTAGAGTGGTGGTGGTTACATTGTTGCATGTTTTGGTCAAAACTCAAACTGCGCCTTAAAATGGGTGCAATTTATTCTATATAAATGAAGGCTTCATGAGAAATTTGGGTGCAAAATTTTTCACAAGAAATTCGGAGAAAAAAACCCAAGTTTGCATTTTTTAAAAATAATGTACTTTAGTGTTAAATACTTCTGCTTAGCTCATCATATGTGAAATAGTACCTTTAACTATGACAGTCTGGCTAAAATTAATAATAGCAGGGTTTTTTTTGCCAAGTTGTGTCTTTCTTTCTAAAATTGTGACTACAATAATAAATCCTGTTTATACGGTGAAATGGACATCATTAAAGAACACACTGGAGGCTTTCTCACTGTTAAGCTAATAATTCCTTGGGAATGTATGATCTACAGAGAAACCACTGTAGTTTTTACCTGCTGATGCTGAGAACAAATTTTAAATGTCCTTCCCTCTCCCCTCTTCCAAAAAAGTAATAACCAGTGACCGCCTCTCTTGTTTTCACTCCTGCTATACTACACATATACACAGTGCATAAGTACTGCTTAAAAGTAAAGAATCAAGCAGTTTAATATGATTACACTAAGCATTTACAAGTCAAGTATCTTCTTACATTTTAATTCTTTCTCTCAGAGACCAAAACACTGGTCTCAGTCTTTCTCTCTCAAGCTGGAAATTACAAAAATAGTAAGGCAAAAAATAGCATGTTTTCTTTTGGTAGACTATAAAATATTAATTCCCTTCTAAACATTTTTATTTATAGATGACTTATCCTTGAATTTAGATGCTAGTATCCTGCAGTGTTTGTCAATCACATTTTCCTTACTATATCCTTATGAAAACAATAATAATAGTTACTCACTTCAATTGTCTTGGCCAGTAACTGTGTGTGAGGAAAATTATGCTTGTATACTTCATTAGCGACATTGTTTACATCGATGGCAGCCACCACATGTGCAGGTATACAGCTTTCTGTAAGGGGAAGTGGAATATCTTAAAATGTAAAGTCCTTAACATCAATTTGTTCATAATAGAAGTCAAAATAACAAATTTTGCAGCACATTTCCTCACTTCCTCAATTATCTAGCGCAGTGATTTTCAACCCAGGTGGACATGCACACTGCAGTGCCACAGAAATTTTTAAAGCATGCGATGCCTGACTATTTAGTCAGTGACACTGGCCTCTTTGCCCTTAGATTGTCAAATTAAAAAAATGACAACAACCAGCACAACAATAGCCATCCAGTGAGAATGAATCAAAAATTATACCTATTTTTGTCTGATCAGCAAAAAATATATTTTTTGGTGTGCCCCAGAATTTTTGTAATTAGTTTATGTGCGTCACAAGATGAAAAAGGTTGAAAATCACTGATCTAGTTGGATCTCAAACTGTCAACTGATGACCAGGTCAGGCAAGAAGTAGAATACTTAATACTTCTGGTTTATTTCTCTAACTGCATTCCAATGCTAAAAATAAGATTTAAATATTTTGGTCATTACATCTTATATATGCTTTCTACCCTCCATTAACATATATGCTTATGAGTTAAATGAAAAATTTTCCTAAATTAATTAAAAAATAGGAATGACAAGTACATTCTTAGAAGCCATATCCCTTGGAGACTTAGATAAATAACTATGATTTGTTCCTCAGCTTCTAACATTAATATAAAGCTGCTTCTCAATATCACTGAAAATGCTTTCAGGTTAAGTTCAAGGTAATTTTTTTTTTAAATAAAAATAGCCTGACTGAGACATAATTCACATACCATGGAATTCACCTGTTTAAGGTTTAGGTAAGTTTTTAAATGAGAGAAACAATTAACTGGTGCCCAAATGAAGAAAGTTCACAGACCAAATATTAGAAATCTGGACAAACCAAGAGGGATTATGAGAAGAGTAAGGGAAATAATTACAAGGGCATACGTGCACTGTCTTGCTGCTAAAGAAAAGCATATTCAAAATCCTTTCAGATTCACAAAATTCTGCCATAGTCTTTAAATGGAAGTCAAAATTTGAACTATGTAAGCATGGCTATTATTATAGTTTGCAGTTACCACCTTCTTTGTTCTTCTTCCCCCAAAGACTCACAAAAGCAGTTGTTACATGTATATCCTGTTCCAAATCCAGAGAAAATGTGAAGAATTTTAAAAATAAAAGTATTTGGAACTTCTTAGGAAAACCATCAGACAAAATATTATAAAACTACATAGTAGCTCCAAATAGCTATTTCTTTAATACCCACTTGCTGTTAATAGCTTAGATAGCCCAGATAGAAGGAAGGAGGGAAGGGAGGGAGGGAGGGAGGGAGGAAATGAGAAGCTGGAGTACAGGAAGTGGGCATCTGGTAATGAAATCAGATCACAGAAGGTGGGGCAAGGCGAAGGCTCACACACATTCAGCAATCACAAGCATACACTGAAGCCTAGAGAAGACGATGCCAGAGAAAAAACAAGGGCATGAATGGCTCTAAGTAAATATATATTAAATGTCTACTAGGCTCGAGACACTCGGATAGGATCAATTATCTCCTAAGTACCCTCCTGCCTTGTATATAGGTCACTGGAAACTTTGAAATCCAGCTAGTAATATCATAGGTAGCTACCTCTAATTGAGTGTAAATTCAGTAACTAGTTACTTGCCGTAACATAAAATAAATTTCAGTTATAACTGTATCTTTGTCAAAAGCGTTAGAGAGATCTTGAAACATAAACCAAGAATGCCTCTAAACAAACAAAAAAATTATATATAAAGGTCACTTTGGAAAATCACAAACCTGTTATATTCGAGGTCTATCTGGATATACGAGCCATTATTAATATAGTAAGAACAGTTTGTGTGACATCAGTGTAACCTGGTGGCCAAGGAAAGTGGACTGGAGTGTATGTGCATGAACAACAACGACTTCACTGTACTAGTCAGTGGGGGTAGTAGATGCCACTGGGTGAGCATGTGTACTGTGTAGGCATCACATTCAAAATGACTGAGCAAGTAGAGCGAATCTACATCATATTTTGTGTTAAGCTTGAACTCTCCTCTGGGGAAACTATTCAGATCATTCAGAAGGCCACAGCTATGGGCAACTGGTGATTGGTAGCTTCATCACAACAATGTGTTCGCTTGTACATCGTGTCTCATGCAGTTTTTTGGCAAAACGCCAAATCACCCAGGTGACTCAGCCCCCTACAGTCCAGATTTGGCACCATGCAACTTCTGGCTTTTCCCAAAATTAAAATCACCTTTCAAAGGGAAGAGACTTCAGACCATTGATGAGAATCAGGAAAATATGACAGGGCAGCTGACAGAGACTGGGAGAACTGTGTGAGGTCCCAACATGCCTACTTTGAAGGGGGCTGAGGCATGACTGTCCTAAGTACAATGTTTCTTGTATCTTCTTCAATAAATGTCTATTTTTCACATTACATGGCTGGATACCTTCTGGACAGACCTCGTATAATTCAGGTCAAGAACTAAGCTACTGTTAACCATCATAAGAGCTCAAAATTAAACAACCTTTACTGAACTATTTGTTTTGCTAAATAAAATATGTTGTGATTTGCAAGATGCTGTCTGCTTGCATTTCCACGTCATGTACAGCAAACTGAGAGCGCCTGGAGTTGGTAAATAAGACTTTTTCTTTCAGACTGGTTGAAAATCCACAGTGATGTGTTGGATCTGTACTATAATCAATAATTAATCTTATGTTCTTCTATTATGTGCCTGAAAGATACAAAAACTGACAAAAAGCCATTGCCAAATGGTAGCTTCATGTGGTGATTCCAGAACTGATGAACTGAAAATTATTTCTCAGGAAACAATGGATTTTTAAGTCAGTACACAAGCTCACTGTTTGCATCGATTAGGATCTGCTGTGCAACCATGATGAAAAATGGTTGTACTAAGATATTACTGATACTTTTCTTCCCTTTTCAAAACAATTGTTTGGGGATATGGGTGTGTTTCTAAGGAACACATTAAACACATACCAATTTAAAAGAGAAAACCTGTCAATTCTGTCAAAATATTAACGCGTTCCAAAGATAAATTGTCTTGATATTTCCTACTGTATTTAAATCCAAAGACTCCAAAAATCTTTATTAGGCCACATACATGTTTTGAAAATGTTTAACTACAAATATCAAAGTGAATATAATTCAACAGAATTTTGCCTAAGTAAGCTCCATCACTTAAGTGATCCTGGAGTAGTAATTCACAAAGAGGAGAGGGAACCAGCGGAAAGGCACCCATCAAGATCTTTGATGGAGGTGGAATGAGGGGATGTGTTTTCAGTGTCTTGATTTATTGCTATTGCTGGATTTTATTTGTGATATTTTAGTTATCATTCCAGATTGCCTATCTATCAACAGGAAGCATGGGTATAAAAGGTGAGAGACTCCAGTTGGAGAAATACAATATAAATAATTTTAAAAAGTTGTCAGATTTGATCTGTAAGGAAAGGATAAGGGGTATCATGCTCCCACTACTGTGACCAGTGAACTAAAAATGATAGATTTAGTTACATAAGGGAAACTTCTAGGTGAGATGACAGAAATGCCACTGACAATGCACACACAATTCCTGCTCTCAAATATGTTTCTTATTAAAGTAGGAATAAATCACACACACACATCATTTTAATAGTAATAATGTTCCTTCTTATTCTCAAAGGTTCTATGGGGAAGAACCTTTGACTGATAGTAATAAAGAGGTACATTTTTTTCCTTCTTTGTAATTTATTTTCTGATCTACACGTCATGTAGGTGAGTAATTATTTGAATTACATCATCAAAATCACACCTGAGACACCTAATCAGGTATGTTAACACTGACATCTAGTTGTCAAGTGGAAGATCAGTTGAATACATCCCATGTATATTTCCTTTCATTTAAAGTGAGAGCTTAATTAAGAATAAAAATACTAGGAAAAAAAAAAACAGACCTCCAAGGATTATAAATTTAAAATCATTGCCAAATATTAACAAAATGTATTTCTTACTTCATTTTGGAGATTTTTGGATTTCAAAAGTAAGAGGCAAATTATTTCTGTGAATTAAATAAGTTTGAAAAAAAAATGTAATCCTTAGAAGTTTAGCTAATAGTCAACCCAAACCAATCTACTTTGGGTTAAGACATACTTGAGATCACTGTTACTAATATCTGACCAAATAAAAGAGCCCATAAATCAGAAAGTAGATGGGACTGTTTGAGATCTGTACAGAACAGAGCTGAGGAAGTAGAATGCCAAATTAATGTTTTTAAAAAGTTATACTGAGGGAGTTTACAAAGTAAGGAAAATAAAGATGCTATGTCAGATAATATAAAGAGAAGTAGAAGCAATGAATCTTGAAGAGGATCATGAGAAAAGATATTAAAATGTGTAAGAAATCTTTCTAGTTAGCCTCTAGAAAAGTCCATTTAAAATGGTGTTGGCATAATGAAGTAGCTAATACAGCTAATGCTCTCCCGATCTCTCTCCTCCCCTTCCATACCATAAGCTTCCCTGTGCAAAAGGAAAGCAAGAGAAAAAGCAATTTATCTAGAGGTCACACAACCCTGCACAGCCCTGCATTACCCTTAGCCTTGGGGGTTGCAGGGAGCCTCAGTTTCCAGGGACATAATATGATCCCTAAAAGAAAGTTTAAAGGTAGTTGCAATTAGAGTTAACTTGAAATTCTGTAATAGCTTAGTATAGCAATTTTCAACCTTTTTTATCTCATGGCACACATAAACTAAGTACTAAAATTCTGTGGCACACCAAAAAATGTATTTGCTGTTTTGACAAAAGAGAGGTATAATTTTGATTGATTTACAATAAATAATAACAGTAATTACCTATCCTTTTTGTTCCAAAGTGACTTTTCAAAAAAAAAAAGTCACTTGCCTATACTTGTATATAAGGATTTCTGGCACCAAGAGTTAACCAATCAGATGCAGTTTTATTGTGCAATGTGACAAATAAGATGCAACTCTAT